GSMWTTCCACGACTRGGTGGAGGTGCACAGGGTTCAAAAGCAGCAAACAGCCGGCAAATCTGCCGTGTAAAATCTCCATTTCGCTACATTTTTGCCTGCAACCCAGTTGTACTGGGAAGTGGGAMCTTCCCACCAACAGGAACTTCCCCTCCAGTTGGAATTTCCTGTTGAAATTCAAGATGGCAGCTAACAGYGAGTAAAACTCTTTCATTTACTTYTAATAATATTTCTGTATTATTTATTTCACATTAAATCAGTTGTACATGTAATACGTTTCAGTGTTTATAAAAGTTTACRAGTTAAAACACTGTTTCTATGCAGGAAACACCACATRGAGTTCAGTTAYTGTTTGTTAGCGATGCTCMGTTGTAGCAACAGTACGATAAARGTTTTGTTTAATCAAAGTTAAACACMAAAAAMGWAYAAAATGAGTTTGCWACTCCTGATATAAAGAATTAAAATGTGTTGTTTGTGACAAAATGTTTCTAAACTTTATTTTTGAGCCTCTATTTTTCTTTTACTGGGACTTTTTTTTTAACAGTAATAAGATTTTAACACAATTTCCCCTTGGAATTATAAGAACAAACGTGAGACATTTCCTGCTAAGGAACAAGAGTTTCTCTGAGTATCACATGGTTTTGCAGATAATAGCACCTTATCCTATTGTCCACTTTCCAAAGCAGCGGTACAAAGGACTATTTTAAGTGCCTGTAATCAAATCTGATCCTTTTCAGCTTTCTTTATCCAAAGATTCTCTCCTCTTTCACACAGAGTGAACTCTTTTTCAGGCTACCTTTCTTATTTGAACYTGCTTTAAGAACTTATTTATGCTTCAATTTTTAGATAATCTTACAAATAAAAAAACAACCCCGAGGTTTCATGTAAAACATGCCAGGTAATTATGTTTGCACACCCAAAAAGAACTGAATTTAGTGACTTGCAGTGATTTATTTAAACTCTATTTGGAAATAGTGTAAAAAAAAACACATTTAAGAACGTTTAACATTTACAGTGTCACATGTAAGAAGCACCTGCGTGGAGCAGTGAGCAGCTATTTAGGTGGACAGGGAGCAGTTGGGGGTTGGGTTTCTTGCTCAAGGACACCACGGCACGTGAGCATGACAAGGAGTCAAACCTGTGACTTTCTAGTTCCAGGTTGGCTGCCCTATCATAGCTCAGCAGCCACCCCCCATACTATCCCCTTTAATAAAATGAAACAGCTCAATCTACAGAATGAGGTCACTGAAATCTTTTCAATTTTCAGGTTGAGAAATCCAAAGACATCGATCTGTTTGYTTTGTGTTTCTTTGACTAAGTAATGACCTCTGCCTCTTTGGTTCCAAAAGACTGAAATCTATAAGATGACCTTTTTTTTTTTTCTTTTTTACACACACAATCATGTCAATGACCTGTGTTGCCTTATAGTCTATGATATTGACTGGTAAAAAACAAAAAAAGGTCTTTGTTAATTTTTTCTTTTTCACATCAAAGTATGACACAACACATTTTTGTTTCAATATATCATCAATCAGTTCTTAAAATATCCAATTATTTAAAAAAATAAAATAAAATTACATAGTATTTTACAAATGTTATCCATATCCCAAAACCGGTTTAATTCAAATACAATTTGCTACTTTTTTATTTTAGTTAAGCTAATTTCATTCATAAGTCTGCTTTTAATTTAAATACAAATATATACAGACCATAATGTTGCATTTAATCTACATTAACCCAATTCAAATG